AATCATCGTGAGTAGTGAGTGCTGAGCAGGCCGTTTTACTATAAACAAATTTTAGGAATTGATAACAACTTTGAAAAATATATCGTTGCACATTCGGATAAATGTTCATAGTATGTTGTACCGTTGCTTGCAACTAACGATGAACAGTCGCTCATAAAAACATTCGCGTGATTAGAATCTTCAATGTTTGTCAAGAACAACAACACTTAATTGTTGTTTCCCATGTGTACAATAATAAGTAACAAAACTTTGTGTGGTCTGAACGTGTTGGGCTAGAGAGCTACTAGAAACTTTTACAGGCTTTTTAATGAGAATAGAGAATGTTTTATCTGCAACTGTGCACCCTTAGTTGCAACCGACGGTATTTAACAGCATAAAATTGCCTGTGGCTGTGATAACTGATATAAATAAAATACAGTCTGGTTATGCTGACTTGAGCGTGTCATGACAAACTCTTTATTGGAAAATTGTGAAGAAATAGTCGAATATAGAGGGTCGAATATCATACTTAAACTTGTATAGCTACAGTATCATTGGTACATAGCGTTGTGAATAGAAGCCTTTGCTTTAATACCTTTCGCTTCAGCAGTCTTTTTTTCCATGCTTCTCTACGCTTTCTCAGGCGAGCTTCTCTTTCCTCAGCAGTCTCCTCGAGCAAACGTTGTCGTCTTCGCTCCCTCCTTTTCACTACACGCTCGGCTTTCTTGTCGTTTCCTTGCCTCTCTTCATTTGGCTCCATATCTTTTCAATTGGTATTTGATTCCGTAATTTTTTTATTAAACTTTTTATAGAACAAATTGCTTTGAAAGCTGTCAAAGTTTTTTGCAAACGTACAAAATACTGTAGTGTAAAAAGCAAATTATTTTCATGAAGTATCTGTCAGTTGAAGTCGTCATTTGTCATACAACAACAAATTTTAAATTTGACCAATCAGTGTTTGCTATCCATGACAGTCCGCCATATTTTTGAGATCATGCACTGAGGATGACCACCAAGGTTCGTTGGTCACGCCCGCGATATTTGATGATGAACTAATTTAGACTTGCCTAATGCTTTCGTTTCCCCGGGTGTAAATAGCCGGGGGGGAATTAGTACCCTCGCAGGGCGCTTCGCGCCGCCGGGATAATGCCACATCTACTGCATGAGATGCAGTAGGAGAGATGGGAGGAGGTGACATGGTATTGAGATTTTGGTGCCGAAATGATGGTAGCAGAGTCTATACCATCACAGGTTTTGCATTTGGCAACCCGGCAAGAAACGTGCCATTATGTGATGACGAATCCTGTGACAGGGAGCTATGAACCAAGACTTCACGGATATTTTTTCTGTGTCGAAAAGAAAATAAGGGGTTACTGGAGAAAATGAAAGATGTTTCTGGTCATTTTTCAAAATTTGGAAATTCTTCCTAATGACATCTTTGGCTTTAAAATTGAAAAGATGATAAGTTAATACTCGGGGGATTTTGTTGTTACTTGTGATATTGGACACAGGCCTAGGTCTGTAAGAGTCTCGGATCGGGGAAGTTGGGAGGCCTTCAAAAACACAGCGTCTAATAGAGAGGTAGGATAGCCACGTTGGACAAAAAGTGTCTCATTTCCTGACTTTTGACTTGGAGGTCCTCCTTTTCACTGCAAATGCGGAAAGGCGAAGGAACTGAGAGAGGGAAATCGACCTTTTGGTGTGGTTGTGGTGGGAAGAGGAAAATAGAATATAGCTACTGGAATCAGTAAGCTTGTAGAACACAGAAATAACTAGTTGATGACCATTAATTGACACAAAGATATCTAAGAATGATACACGGGTGTCATTGATCTCTCGTGTGAACTGGAGTTCTAGATGGAAATTATTAACAAAGTTAATTGGGGATGGGATACGTGTATTGTTGAAGATGTGTTTTTTCACAAAAGCAACAAACAAATTAGCATATTTGTGACCCATTTTGGTTCCCATAGTTACGCCACTTATCTGTTGATAATGCTCACCATTAAAGCAAAAATTGTTCAGGGTGAGCAGTAGCTAGAAAGAATTTGAGGGCCCTTAAACCATCGTGATGCGGAATAACAGTGTACAAGGATTTGACATCCATGGTGAAGATGAATTTCCGAGTGAAGATTTGGAGAGTATGTTTGGTTTCCTTGATATCGAATGGTTAGTCCTTAACCAAGGGAGCCATGCATCAGATCAACACGATTATGTCAGCAAAGAAGTTTTTGATCAGACCAAAGCCTTTATTACAAATACTCCAGCACTCAGGTACATTAATACCTGGGTCCAAGATTGTAAATTCAAGAAAATATATTAAAATTTATAAAAAATCAACGAAGCCTTCAATTGTTACCGTTCAAGTATTATAACATTTGTTAAGACAGGGGCTTGAAGTTAAGCTGCATTTAGTTGTCATGGCAACGATCACGTGACATATACTATTATTAAAAATTTTATTATTATTAAAATCATCTTTAAACACGGTGAGTGACTAATCAACCAGTATTAAAATATTTACAAATCGAAAGGTTGCTTTGCATTAGGCCGTGATGAACACAAACTACAACGCCCCCTCCTTCCCCCAGTGAACCCCTCCCAAAAAGTGTGAAAGATGCAGTTGCTATTTATTTAACTGACTACCCCACCTCCCCTCAGTGATGCCCTCCCAAGAAGTGTAAAAAATACAGTTACCACTAAGTTAACTGACACTTTGGTTCCAGACTTTAGCAGCAGCATATCTGAATGTTCTTGTCAAAGAATTAGTTTTTGGTTTCGCTAGTACAAGCTCGCTATTGTTGCTTCTTAAGTCGTATCATTCATAATTGGACATTATAAACATGTTCGAAATGTTTTCAGGGCATGGGCATGCAAGAGCCTTAGATACACATTTTAATTGCTGCTCATTTCGCCTTTCTTCTAACGTTTTCCAGTTCAGTTTACTCAAAATGTCAAGGGAGCGTACTTCATATGAGTCGCCTGAAATAACCCTTGCTTAACCTTGCAGTTTTGGAGTCTCTGTAACATCCCTTTTAAGGTTTTGCCACAGTTACCCCAAACCATTGAACAGTAATCAAAATGTGGTTGAACCAAAGCTTGATAGAGGTAGGTAAGAGTTTCAATTGAAACAAATGGTTTAATTCGGCGTAACATGCCAATGCCTTTTGAAACTTTTTTACTGATGTTCTCAATTTGCTTGTCCCAGCATAAATTTTCATCAATTATAACGCCCAAAGTTTTCTTTGAGTTTACTTGTTTATTATTTTGCCATCAATAGACACTGTGATATCTTGCGAAAATCTATACTCAATCTTTTGTGAGTTCCAATGACC